CATGTGTTGGGTCATAGAAACCCGTTTATGCGATAATTTCTTTTCATTGTTCGGCATTCGCATTCACGTCATATTTGTTTTCGTTACGCAGTCCATCGACAGTCTTCTGTCTGCAGCATACAGTATGGAATTTTCACCTATGATTTCATGTTTGCGCATTTGTCGCAGTTAAAAATGAAAATGAGCTCAGCGCACTCCTTATCCGAATAAAGAAGCCGACTAAAGGTTTATACTTTTAATTACATATCATGGGTTAGGCTAACACGTTGTTCTTGGACCAGATTCTTTATCCTGCTCCACTATAGTTCATTCTTCTCTGTTACCCCTTTTTCTTGACGTTCTGCCATTAGCCTCATAGCATTCCAAGATAACAATCACATCTGTTTGTTTGGTTTTTAGTACGCTTCTAAGACCAAACTCGGTGCTGTGATAGCTGTCATTGGTATGCCTAATGTAAATCTAGACTGGTTTGCAGTGATGTCACACTTTCTCGTTGGCTTCTATACAGCATCTTTTCATGGAGCTTCAGTATATGGCTGAATACCATAGTTCTCTGATGAGTTTGGCATACCAATGTATTCTGTTTCATTTTCTTTTTACGATCTTTTCTTTACGATTTGCCATCAGCTTAACACTGAATAGTATTATTGACATACCAGTGCTTGGATACAAGGATGAATTGAACCTTTATGATACACAACTTTAGTCGTGAATATTTGTTTAGAAAGCTTTCGAATGTAGACTGAAAATAGATGGGTAAGGTTTTATCCTGTTACCTTCGAAGATAGATTAAAATAAGCGATTAACTTCTAAGCATGCGATTCTTCCTGATGTTGGACCTGTCGTAAAGGCGAGATGAGTTGTGTCAATTGCTATTTATCAGTGCCTTGTTAGCTAAATGTTCCAAGACTCACATGTTGAACTGTGGCACGCTGAACCTATCGGATACTAATTGCGTATTATATTAAACGTTGACTGTTCTAGAGTGTTTTAAGATGTTGAAATATGTCGTTTAATCACTGAGTGGCTTTTAGGAGTCCAACGATCGTTAGAGAAGGAGAGGAATCCGATGCGTTTTGGGCGTTTTTAGGAGGTAAAGGGAACTACGCCACCGGCGGTATCCTGAGTGTAATGATTATGTTAGAATGACAATTATGCAAATCAGCTTATTTAAGAGTTCACAGATTTTGCCTGTGCGGTTGTTCCATTGCACCAATGCAGTGGGATACTTTAAGGTGGAAGAAGTATACAATTTCAGTCAGGAGGTACCAAATTTATTGATCATATTTTATCGTATGTCATAACGAACATTTCAGGATTTGATCGAGGATGACGTCATGATTCTGGATGCCGTCGAAGACGTATGGAGCATAGTATTTTTATATGGACGCAGTTGAACGTAATTTTAGATTTATATATGGATAGGAAAAGATTCAAACTTGGCGGAAAGAAAAGAGGCGATTAAAACTGCTACGGTATTGTCGTGAAAAGTTTCCTGTTTAGTTCAACAATGCTATAATTCAGGAATATCTAAGAAGGGACCCTTCATGTCGTACGGCAGATTCAGTCAATTTGTTGGTCATAAAAGAAGGTAACGAACCGCTCTCATTCACTGGTCACTTTCCATCATGGGATCCTGATTTTTGGAAAGTAAGTCAGTCAATCAGCCGCAGCATAAATTGTTTCGATTCACCATACTGACCCTCGATGTTTCGTACTGTTTTGGCACGGATGGCCCTCTGTAAAGGACTGAGAGGAGCTGTGTTGAAAAATGTTCAAATCAACGACTACCACTAGATTTCTTTTACGAGGACAGTGTGTGCATGTGGAGGAGTACTTTTCGTTTTCTGTAAGATCTTGCATTAATTGCCATCGACTGACAGACCAGAGGCAGAGGTATACTGAAAACTTGGTATTGTAGCACGTAAGAACTTAACTCTTGCAGCTTACTCGATAGATGGATGACTGATGGCCATGCAAAAACTTCAGGAACTGCTGTTCGTGAAACCTGAAAAGAAGAGTTGTAAAAACGAATGAATTCCATTTTTCATACGATTGTATTGAATTCATTTGATTCATATGTTCATCTATCTTTTACCAAATAAGCCAAAAATCATTGTCTAATATTTCGCAACGAACCCTGCTTTGTGTTTGCCTCTCTGCTACATTGATATGTTATTTAAAGATAGTAGAATGGCTCTGCTTGGTTTTTGATACCGGCATTTTCTCGTAAGCAATTATTTTCTTCCTCTAGATATATCTTATTAGTTTTCATACATCCCTGGTCTAAGATCAGAATTAATTTGTGATTGCTGCCTAAGGAGCTAAAACGTAATTAGCTCGTTACTACTTTTATTTGCATCATGAACAGCCCATAATCAATTGCGGATTAATGCTGACGTCTGAATGGTTTTGCAAAACGAAGCTAGATCTCGTTAAGTGTGCCACTATCGCTTCCGCTAAACGGATTTGATTAACCATTTAATGCAGAGTGATGTTTTTCAGAGTTTCAGAGCTTCAATTTGCTTGACTTTTAGAACTCAATGTCAGAACAGGAGTACCAACGAATGATTAAGCAGGAAAATTCGAAAGTTTCTACAGCATTGGAAGTGTGTAAGAAATTCACCCAATTTTACCCGCTACAGGAGCTGCAACGTTCCGAGCCCCCGGAAGGGATAGAGCCAACAAAAAAAGAGGTAACTGCAACGATGTCTGTTACTGCAATGAAGTTATACATATTACAGTGTGTGTTCAGTTTAGCAGTCTGTTTAGATGAAGGGTGTCAGTAAGGTCATGAAGTCCGTAAAATAGTGTCTGTATGAAACCAGAGGTCCGTTAAATAACAAATTATATATTTTGAAGCACTATTATTTATTGCGCGCACATATAATAAGCTTGCTTCTTCAGACTAAAAATTCTCTAGCTGACTGAAATAAACTTACATATCTGTCTAAATCTTTTCTGAGGTGCATATGCCATATAAGATTTTTGTATCGTAAAAATTCACATTAATTTTGAAGAATATTAAAATAAAAATGAGGTTTCGCAGAGTGAAAACTTTATAATTTAATCTTTAGTCAATCCTCAGGACTTCCAGCAGGAAAAACAACAGTGATTCCTTTTAACAGTTGCATCCATCAAATTTGATTTGTTTGTTCTGGAAAAGGACTGACTTTAATGGATAACAAACAATGCTGCTATTGCAATGCGAATGACTGCCTATAATATTTAAAAACGATGGGTTAATATGTAAATCTTTGGAGGTGTTATAAACAGACTGTGCTTATTAGCAGGCGCTTATATATAAAACAATGACCTATCTGATTCAGTAGATTCGACTTCGAACCGGAAGTAGTTCAAGTACCACATAAGTTATTAACGTAATGGTCGGAGAGTAGGGGAGGAAGTACCGGTACAGGAGTCAAAAACTCGTCGGTACAGGAAAATTGTTGTTTGAATTGAAAGTCCGTTAGATCCAAGATATCCTCAATTGGAATTCAGAACTACATAAGTATTTCTGGGGCGATGCGGCTTGACAAGTTCATTATTTACAAAGTTTCAAATTAAGTCGAACACTGTAGTGCACCTGTTAATATTCGAACTAATTTTTATTTGACCCATAAAGTCGCGATGTTCAACGCCCATGCATTGCAAATTCTAAAATACTATGTAGCCTTGGCCGGCTGAAGCGGATCTCCTCTAAGATATTAGATACAAGGAGACAGTGCGACCACGCCGCAGAAACCCAGAGAAGAGACTTATTTTTGTGGATGGTATAAAAACCTAGTCTGCTGGTAAGCTCATAATGCAGTCATTGTTCATTTGCTTCGTTTTATTTTGCTAACTAAAAGCAGACGAGTCTCGATGCGAAACGTTTCAGACTTTGCCTGTAATAAGCTTGTTGTTTTCATATTGATAAACATATTTTAAAACGTTGTGTCGTTTGTATTGTAGTTGAGTCGTTTTTGCTAGAGCTGAGTACAGGATTGGAAAGATCCTTTAGGGGATGGCACCGAAACTATTTGTAAACTCATCAGCGTTTCAGATCAAGCTTGATTAATTTTGAGGCGGTCACTTCATACTAAGCTACTATGAATGGTACAGTCACGTTACAACTTCAACACGGAGTTTAAGCTCGATTGCGGAATTTGCTTTATAGGTTCATTCAAATGCGAGCATACTTCTACACCAATGCGCCTATACCATGAATTACCAGGTTTACTACGACTGGTCATTTGTGCACTGAGGATGCTGCGGCGTGTGTAGCGAAAGGCTTTGACAACAATGTGCTAACATCTGGGTTGTTTGAATGCCATCAGCTATGAATCGGCAAAGCAATTGTGAAAAAAAATATATGAACGGTATAACATTTTGTCATTCCCGTGGTTGCCTTTGCTGCATTGAGCAAAACTTTTGAGAATTACGATTAACATAGTATAACTAAAATAGGACAAACTTCGTATATCAGACATCCGTTTAAGACAAGTAAGTTTTCCTGTAACGGGGAGATTCTGGGTCATATTCCATACTGATTTCTGAAGAAATCATGGAGAAGCTTTTTTAACATGCCTTTTATGCCGTTCAAGAAAAAGTCCTGTCATTTTTCCTGAGTGTGATGCACCAGGTAGAATTTTTTGTTGCGCATTGCAGTCCAATCGTCAGTATCTGTTTACTTGATATTCAATTTTTATGTCTGCCGAGCGAGCTGCTGAAAACACAGTTCTTAGCATAAGCAAGTAAACAATTACAATTATGCTATGACACCGCTCTAATGGCCTCACGACTGGCAGTGAGTGTGGTTCATCCATTAAAACGAACAAAAGCGGTTACGCGGAGGAAAGTGATCCCGAGAGAACTGAATGCTAAAAGGCATGACAAGATGCTGCTAGGTTAGGGGTTACGGCTTATGGTCATGATAGTCGGTATTTTCTACCGTCTGCATGATAAAAAATACAAAGAAATAAAAGATAAAACTGGATACGAATCATTTAAATTTTTTTACATATAAGAATTGTTCAACACCCTAAAAAGTTCTTGGCAGCGATGAACAGTGTTGTGTGAGGTAGAAAGAGGTTCAAAACCACAAACGAATCTGTCGATCTGTTTTGTAAAAGATTTACTATAACATTAACATGTCAGCTATTTACGGCTGTGTTACGGGATTTTCCTGACGAAGAGCATCTTTGAAAACTAAACTAACATCACGCAAAGCGCAGTTATCTCATACCGTAGACTAAAAAAGAGAACTCCATATCTAACTCTAAACTACTGCACTAAATAAACATAACGCATGAATTCGGATATTTGTCTATGAACTTTGCCGTTTAGTATTACCTTGACGACGAAGAGTTCAAAAAATGTTTTGGAATAACCAAAGAAGAATACGAAAAGATACCGCAATGGAAACGCATACCTATGAAGAAGAAATGCGGATTGTATTAAGCCGAAAGTGGCGTGATATCTGCTGAAATGACTACGGCTACAACATGAAATGCCTTTCAGTAGGCAAGTGTTTATTAGCAAGAATGACATAGATAGAAACTCAATTTTTTTATTCATTGATAAGGCAAGTCTTAGAATTATTTATGCTTTACGTATGATTGACGACGTTCTCACGATGTGTTTTGATCTCTGTGTCATTTTGTAAACATTTGATCCTCCGTTTACCTCCGCTGAAATATATTTCACTTCATTACTTGAAAAACGTTTAAGATATATCACACTTTCGCTTTTAAAGTTTTTAGTCTAAATTATTTATGTTACAATTAAAGTAATTATATAGACAAGTTTTTAAAAGAAAAACTTATGAAATTCGCTCACAAACGTCAAAATCTAGTGTGCAGAAACACAAACTCTTAAGGTTTGTGATTTGTCATGTCATCTCAACAGCTTGATATTAGGAGCTGTTCACTGCTTCAACGAAAGTTCCTCATTGATAACATATCATTAGATTTCCTTAGTCAATTAATGTACTGGCACCAGTCTTTTATCAACCATCACCATCTAAAGGGTCGGTTGTGTTCCTCGCAAAAATTTGAATGAAGTCAACCTGTAGTTCATACGCGCGTCCAAGCTTTCGGTCTCTGACCTGAAATATGCAGTGGTCCTTTATCGTGTTTAATTCGATCCTTATCGAAAATGGAAGTTTACAATTCTGATAGATCATAATAACTACTGATAAAAGTTAAAACCAACCAAGAGGCTCTAATCTTTGCTTCATGCAACAACACTGTCTATAAGAATGTGCATAGTCAATATGTGTGGCTTAGAGCACTGTGGAAACACCTTATTGACGAACTTTATGCTTAATAAAGAATTACCTACACGAAGCTCTTCTAATTTAGTCCCGGCTATATAATTTCCCCCTCTTCAAATATGCGCAAAAAGTGGTCACGTAAGATATTTCATACTGTGCATCCTAGACAGCACGAAACTATAAAGAATAGAAATTAATCGTGATATGTATGATTGGTTTAACTGTACCTAAGAAGCAGCAATCTCCTGTCACTTCTTCAGATTCACAAGACGTGGTCGCGCCTTCTTGCTTTTAGTAGCCTACAGTACAGTGAGACTACTCGGTGTTAATCCGGAGAAGTGGCGAAAAACGAGAAAGCTTGGCAACATTTTATAGAAAGAAATCACTAAAACAGCCTGAGTACATATCGAAATGTACTGGCTAGCAGAGGGCAGTACGATAAAGACACCACCACTTCAGTCAGGATTTGACGGGAATTCTTCAAGGTAAAAATCAGAATTTTTCAGACGTTTTGGCACAGTCTGCAGCTGCGTGTTTTCAACCAAGAGGTAAGCTACGATAGCTTCTAAGCTACCGGCTCGAGGTTTACTCAGTCAGGGCGCAGGATGACGCGCATGATCAGTCGCTTTCTTCGTTTGACGAAGTCCATGCACCTCGACCATCACGAGAAGTCTTGCGTAATAAAACAATTTTTGTGCTCATTCTTTGGCTTGACCACTAACGTAAGAAAGTGTTCCATTTTCGAAATAATTTTATTTACATTATTAGCCTTTAGAAACGGATAATAATAATCATTCAAACCACCTTTTTCGGCGCAGGTTATCCGATCCTGACTGATTATGTATTTTTCTTGTCGCTTTACCACCGACTGAGTTCTGCTTTCGTTTTATCTTCATAAGGCGTTGAACTTCGGCACGAATTGCAGGTTTCTGAGAGCCTCCTTAAATTATAAAAGTACTACTTATCCAAGAAAAAGCAATTTTGATCTTACGCAAAGATGTTTTCCCGGTTGAATGCACAATCGCCTAGAAGTAATATTAGACGGTACTTAGAATTTGTGAATAAGGCAAGAGAAAATTTGCATTTATTTTTTGCTAAGTAAAAATCTAAGAAAATAGCAGTCTGGAACATCAAAAGAATCACGGCTACAATTCAATTATACTCCCAGACATTAAGGCCAATGAAAGTACCAATAGCGAAATTACTAATATCAAAACGAATAAGAAAATCAGGAAATTTCACTAGCCACTATACTAATTGTTTTTAAAAAAAATCATAACTGGTTTGATTTTATCAGTCACGTGAAACAATCAATTATTGTACGATGCACAACAAACCGACCGATCGGGTCGCAGTTGGCAAACGGATATGTTGACCACTGCAAGCTGTTTCCATCTTTATTATGCGTTACGCACTAAGCAATTATTTGATAGCAAGTTTGAAGATGGAAGAGATGAAGGCAAATAGCTGTACAAAGGCTGTTTCACAGCATATGGAACCGTTCCCTTGTTCTGAGTTTCTTAGGCGGCCACAGTTTTAAGCATCAGTAGTGCCAACTGCATTGCATATTTTATTAGCTAGAAAAACCTTTTGCTCAACGTTTTGAAGACTAAATTATTGACAATGGCTAATAATCACATACAGACAGGAAGTATGGTCGATGACACTGAATCTCAATCAATTGCCTCCTTCCAGTATTTTCACACTATTCTGGCAGATGGCAATCGATGAATTAAAGATTTACCACGATTCAATAACGCTAAAAGTTTTTGTGGTGCGACCAAAAATAAACAGGCAAATCCACGGTTATCGAAACCCCGCCAAAAAAACAGTTTAAACGTCTCATGGGATCCTGTGACGAGCAAGATACAAGCATGCAAATGAACCATCATTTCGAGGAGGAGGCAAGTTCATGGCAACATTCGAAGCGTAATGCTACAGACGATGGCTGTTACGCATCTTAAAGGTTCGGAACCAACAGAGTGACTTTAAACCAGCTCGGTATTTTGTCATTCTTCAGAAACGCAAATTGACATGTTGACCATGCCATGTGATGGAGTGGCAACTATCTGGCGTATTACTACCGCAAGCCGTATTCTGAAAGCGACATGAACAGATCAATACAACACTTGATAGATAACATCTAGAAAATGAGCAGAACCGAAAGTTGGTCTAATTATGAGAAGTGAGGGTGAACGCAAATCTTTCTAAGAGAAATGCCTTCCAAATCAGTTATCTTCGGCATGAAGAAAATTCAGATTTTTCCTATCAGAAGATCGCAAAATAAGATAAATATACTGATATTTTCTTTTTGATGGAGTCAGTTTCGGAAACTGTACCCATAAAATTTTTGGAAAACGAGTTAAAGCACTTTTCCAGCTGAAGATACTAAAATCGAAACCTGCCATATGCGGTTTGTCACTGCATAACAACGATATAATTCAAATAATTTAACAAAGAATGGTCGAATTATTGGCAGTTTACAGTTCTAGAATTAAAAAAAGTGAAAGCTTCCCAGCAGCGCCCTATAGCCAGTTGATAAGCTGTTAATTACCTTAGCTTTTCTTTTATTTTTCTTCGTAGATATGATCTTGCCCAACACTTTCTTTTGGGCCTTGCTCATCAACTTAGTCGAAGTTGGCAAGTTCGATATCATCTTGCTCAAAAAACGACGGTTTCCTCTTTTCTGATTTTTAGCATTCGATGATTGTCGCGGCCCTGTGGAAGAAGCACGTTCTGAAAAAGTTGCTGCTTCCACCGTATTGCTACTTTGAGGGTAATTTCCAGACTGAATTTGCATCAATTTTGCCTAAACGTAAAAAGGCATGCAAAAAGTACTCGAACAATGAGGCAGTTTTAGCAGATTAACAACGGTTATCCAGGATAAAGTTTCGCTGAAAATGATTTTCATAATGATAGTACAGTCCTGATAAGGCACCGAACAGTCCGCTGAACATGCTTTCCTGTACTGGCATAGAAAATCCAGTGATGCCTAACAATGGAAAGCAATCTAAAACATGAAATATTTTGCTATAACCACTGCCCCAGGGACTGACAGAACTAAGGATATCATTTAATCCTGAAGCTACTGGGTAGCTGAAATGCTGAAATTAACATAGCACTGAAAGTCCTATGGTTCATAACGCTTCAACTGCTGCAAACGGAAACAACAACCATCGGGTATCGACCAACTTTCCCTGAAGGTTGTGAATAGGAGGATTATCAGCATTACGTGAACTAAATTCGTTTACACGCGCTTTCTATAAGTAATAATTTAAATTGTTTTTTATTGACAGTCACGTATCGTACTGATTTAGTCACCAATAAGGTGGGATAAAAGGAACTGTGGGCAGGGGCGAATGCATCACACAGCATAGCCATAAGCCCTAAAATCGTGCTGTAGCCATTGTCTGCAGATCAACGATTTGCTAAATGTCTCTCGGCTGATTGCACCGAGACAAGGTCAGTACTTGGTAAATCAGTACGCAAAAAATTTAGTCATTATAGCAACGTCCTTTTGCCCTTTACTGTGAAAGGGATCGTTTAGAAATATCCGTTACGTCGCATTTCAGCATCTGCAGTGCAATCTCAGCATCATGCGTCGTCTGATCCGCTATAACAAAGACTTGTTCATCGTTAGCAACGTTCAGAAGCAGGTAATCTTTATGTGTACGATTTCAAAGCGAAATGAAAAGCTGGTAAACGAATGGAAAGTCGGTCTTCCTTCACTTTCATGATTGAATTATTTTGTCACCATTCCTTTCATAATTTTGTGGTGGAGTTACTGATCTCCATTTTTATGCCGTCAGCCAGAAGTGTCTTATTTTTAAAAGCAGATTCTACAGCCATGTGGCAAGCATCACCAGTTCTCATCCCATGTACCCATTTATCAACAAAGGAAGAAAGAAGGGCGAGCGTCCGTGACAGAGGACTGAACTCGGGACTGATCGGTGCTGAGTTCAATACCCTACCGAGTGAGAAACCCCGGTCTGAAGAAATGTGTTGTAAATTCTTTGCTCAAGGGAATTCGTGAATAAGACAAGTATTGTCTTCGTGCAGAATCCCGTACTTTCGGTGTCCGAAGCAAACACCTTAGACGACTGTATCAACGTGCAACCAAAGTGAAATCAAACACGGATTCGAATATCAGGAATGAGTTAATAAGCATAGCTTTAGTCAGTGGTATAAGACATGTGTTATTTAGACTAGCTCAATCGATATATTTAACGAGACAATTTTGCCCATTATTTCTCTTTCTCTTTCAACTTACGAGCTTTGACCGTATATGCCTGAATATTGTGATTCATATATTAAATAAGAAAAACAAACGTGCAAACTGTGAAATCCAATCTTACTCGTGAATGTTCCAGTCTTCGCTGTTTCAAATTTAGCGCGGCTTTGTTTTCCAAAGAAAATTCAATGATTGGCCTCTAAAAATTTACTAATTACCACAATTTATCAGAAATACTACGAATTAAAATTCATAATCAGAATGACGCTCATACTAGTACTTCTGTCATTACCGATAGCAACAGTTCTGTGGGAAATTCTGAGGCGACTGAAAAAATGGTTTTGCTGTGAAAATATCAGATTGTGCTTGGAAACATAAACTCTATATTCCAAATCCACCTCACGCAAAAGTTACACCAATATTTTGTCTCAAAATTCCGAATATGTTAGAAAACTTCCTGCCGTTCAGTTAAAAATTTGACAGACAGCACCTCCAACAGATTTAACATGCAAAACCGCTGCAAACAACTCAAAAAAATGTAAAAACAGTGATTCAGCGGAACCCAGTTTGTCATTTTTGACGCTTATTGACGGTCTTTCAGATGAGTCATATGGTCTGTCCTTCTTCTCTTGGCGTCATAGAAGGCAGAAATAACGATTTCAATCCATCCCCTTGCTGAATTGAGCATTCAGAACGTCATCCCGAAGGGACACCTGGAAAATTTGCGCTCCGTTGCTCTTGAAATGAACATCAGTCTGTTTTCCTCAGATTTAGATAGCAGACCAACATTCAGCGACGAAGATCATGGTCGGTAGGATAGTTGAATCGAACAGTTCTTTTCCGCCCGGAAATGCATC